CTTGGGACGAGTGACTTCTCAAGACTTGGGACGATTGACTTCCAAGTCTTGAGAAGTCACTCGTCCCAACTCTTGAGAAGTCGCATGTCCCAAGTCTTGAGAACTCACTTGTCCCAAGTCGTGAGAAGTCACTTGTCCCAAGTCTTGAGAAGTCGCATGTCCCAAGGCTTGGGAAGTCACTTGTCCCTAGTCTTGAGAAGTCACTTGTCCAAAGTCTTGAGGATTCGCATGTCCCAAGTCTTGAAAAGTCGCTTGTCCGAAGTCTTGAGAAGACGCATATCCCAAGTCTTGAGAAGTCACTTTTCCCAAGTCTAGAGAAGTCACTTGTCCCAAGTCCTGAGTAGTCGCATGCTCCAAGTCGTGAGAAGTCGCAAATCTAATTTCCAGCATTTTTTGATTTTTGGAAAATTTTCAAAACTCCCCCCAAGAAATGCCTGCCAGCCTCGGTGAATGCCTCACCCTGTTTCTGCCGGACTCGGCCTCTCTCACCCCGTTGTCGTCTGCCTCGGTGTCTGGAGCAACCGGCCTCTGCAGGTCTCGTTGTGTCAACCGTGTCTCTGCCCGTCTCGGACTCTGCCTTACGTGGTTTCTGCCGCGAGTAGGCTTTTCAGAGACGGAACGTCAAGGACCATATGAGGCAATGATCGCGTTCGTCAGAGACACAGTACATGAGATACAGTCCGAGGGCGACCGGTTCTGCAAGGCATCAGGTGGGGAGAATTTTGAAATAAATTTTGAAAAAGTTGAAAGTTTTTTGAAAATCACAAAATGCTGGAAATTGTCCAAGACAAAGAATTTTTGTAAAATTCCACCTTAAATTTTTTTCAATTTTTTTTGGTTTTGTGTGCTTTTCGGACAAATTCTAGCATTTCTTGATTATTCGAAAATTTTCAAAACTCTCTCCAAGAGATGCATGCCAGCCTCGGTGAATGCTTCACTCTGTCTCTGCCGGACTCGGCCTCTCTCTCACCTGGTTGCCGTCTGCAGCAACCGGCCTCTACAGGACTCGTTGTGTGAACCGTGTCTCTGCCTTACGTGGTCTGCCGCAACTGAGCTTTTCAGAGACGGCACGTCGAGGACCGTGTGAGGCACAGACCGCGTTCGTCAGAGACGCAGTACATCAGAAACAGTCCGACAGAGACCAGGTCTGCAAGGCATCAGGTGGGGAGAATTTTGAAAAATTTGAAAATTTTCGCAAAATCAAAATTGTCCAAAAAGTGCACAAAACAAAAGAAATTTGAAAAATTCCACCTTAATTTTTTTTTGGTTTTGTGCGCTTTTCAGACAATTTCCAGCATTTTTTCATTTTTCGAAATTTTTGAAAATTTTTAAAAAATTTCAAAACTCTCCCCAAGTGATGATTGTCAGACTCGGTATATGCATCAGCATGTCTGCCGGTCTCGGCATCTACCTCACCCGGTTGCGACCTGACTGTCTCGACTGGCCTCGGTCTGATATACCGTGTGTATGGCTGCCCCAATCTGACTCACCATCTCTCTCGGTCTCTGCCGCACCCGAGCTATGCATACGGCACGTCAGAGGCCGTCATACAGAGACCGGTTCGTGCAGAGACCGAGATAGGAACAGACCGCGTTAGTCAGAAACGCAGTATATCTGAGACGGTCCGACAGAGACTGGTTCTCCAAGGCATTCGGTGGGGAGAATTTTGAAAAAGATTGAAATTTTTGAAAATTTGCCAAAAATCAAAAAATGCGGGAAATTGTCCAAAAAGCGCACAAAACAAAAATATTTTGAAAACGTTCACATTCAAATTTTTTTTGAAAAACCTCAAAAAAATTTGGTTTTGTGCGCTTTTTAGAAAACTTTCAGCATTTTTTGATTTTTCGAAAATTTTGAACATTTTTTCAAAACTCTCCCCAAGTGATGACTTTTCAGACTTAGTGAATGCCTCACAATGTCTCTGCCAGTCTCGGCCTCTATCTCACCCGGTTGCTGCTTGACTCTGTGTCTGCATCGACTGGCCTCGGCAGGACTCGGTCTCTGATGTGCCGTATGTCTGCCTGTCTCGATATCTGACTCACCATCTCTCTCGGTCTCTGCCTTATGTGTTGTCTGCCGCTCCCGGGCTATGCATAAGGCACATCAGAGACCGTCATACAAAGACCAATTCGTGCAGAGACCGAGTTAGGCACAGACCGCGTTTGTCAGAGACAGTACGTCAGAGACGGTCCGACAGAGACAGGTTCTCCAAAGCATCTGGTGGGGAGAAGTTTGAAAATTTGAAATTGTCCAAAATGCGCACAAAACAAAAAAATTGAAAAATTTCACATTCAAATTTTTTTTTCAAATATTTCAAAAATATTTGGTTTGTGCGCTTTTTAGACAATATCCAGAATTTTGTAATTTTTTGAAAATTTTGAAAATTTTTTCAACTCTCTCCCCAAGTGATGACTGTCAGACTCAGTGAATGTCTCACTCTGTTTCTGCCAGTCTCAGGCTCTATCTCACCCGGTTCCCACCAGACTCGGTGTCTGCCTCGACCGGCCTTGGCCTCTGACCGTGTCTCTGCCGTCTCCGTCTCTGACACCCATTCTCTGCCAGTCTTGATCTCTGCCTTGCGTGTCTGTCGCACCCGGGCTTTGCAGAGACGGCATGTCACCGGTTGGTGCAGAGAACGAGTCAGGCACAGACTGCGTTCGTCAGAGACACAGTATGTCAGAGACGGTCCGACAGAGACAGGTTCTCCAAGGCATCTGGTGGGGATAATTTTGAAAAAATAATAATTAAAAACTTGAAAATTTTCAAAAAATCAAAAAATGCTGGAAATATTTAAAAAAGCGCACAAAACAAAAAATGAAAAACTTCACAAAATCCAAAAATTTTCAAATGAAAAGCGAAAATAACTAAAATTTTTAGAAAATTTCATAAAAATTTTTGAAGTCGGAATTTTTTAATTTCTTTACTTTTGTGTGCTTTTTGGACATTTTACTAAATCTTTTGATCTTTCGAAAAATTACAAAAATTTAAAAGTTATTTCAAAATTCTCCCAACACGATCGCTGCAAGAAGCGGTCTCTTCCGCACCATCTCTGACGGACCGGGTCTATGCTGCACTCGGTATCTGCACCAATCGTTCTCTCTATGACTCGATCTCTGCCATGCCGTCTCTGCAATAACCTGGTTCGACAGAGACCGCGTGAGGCACAGTCTGAGTCAACCAGAGACCGCGTGAGGCACAGTCTGAGTCAACCAGAGACCGTGTGAGGCAGAGACCGACACCAGCAGTGACCGTGTGAAGCACTGTCCGAGTCAAGCATAAAGACTGTGAAGCAAAGACCAGGTCAAGCAGAGCTCTGGTGATTCACACACCTTGTCAAGCAGAGGCGGGTGAGGCACTGACCAATATCGGCAGATGGGTTGAGGCAGAGACAGTCTGGCAGATAGCAGTGACCGTGTCTGATAGAGACCAGATATGATAGGAGTAGTGTAGAGGCAATTATTAAATTTTTTTATTGGAATTTTTCAAATTTTTCGAAAAATAAAAAATGCTGCAAAATGTCCGAATGGCGCACAATACCAAAAAAATTCGAAAAATTCGTAAAAAAATTTGAAATCAGAATTTTTAATTTGTTTAGTTTTGTGTGCTTTTTGGACATTTTCCAGCATTTTTTGATTTTTCGAAAATTTTGAAATTTTTTTCAAAATTTTCCCTAACTGTAGCCTACCAGAAACGGTCTCTACGGGACTTTGTCTCTACCACACTAGGTGTCTGCTTCACCCGGTCTCCTTATCCAGTGTCTACCTCACCCGGCCTCTGCCGGACCCGGTCTTTGCAGATACGGTCATACAGAGACATGTTCACACAGATCATTTGGTAAGTGTAACTTAGCTAATACTACACAAAGGAATCGATATTTAGGACATCTGGCTTTTGTAGAATGATTTCATACAACAAACTTGTACTCCTCATTTTGTGGAAATAATAATGTTCCTGAGAAAGGAAGTGAACAAGAATTTTGAATAAAATACATTTTGCCATCTGATAAATAGGCAAGATAAAATGGATGCATGGAAGTTCAGTAATGATTTCACTGAAAGGATAATTGCCAGATATCATCCATAACTGGCATGTGCACCAGCAAAATGTGGCAAAACGTCAAACAAAGAGGCTATATCAAGCACATTATTTTAGTTTCATTAAAATAAGTTGTACATGATTTTTTCTATCATAGTGCATAAAGGATTTAAAGACCCAAGCTAATTATGCGGAGAAACAGGAGGAAAGTACAGCTTTCAGAACAGAAACAGTTAAGGGGTTATAGAAATCTATGTATTTATAATAAGAATTGTACCTTCTATTATTATATGCCAGTCCGTATAATCCCTGCTGTTCCTAGAATTCAGTAGTACAAGTACATGGTGTTCAACAACTAGACACACTGTTATGTATGCAGCTCTTCTTCTATGACTGTAGTTGTGGTGTTGGAAACTTTGGGCAGGGCTTCTTGATTTGAACTCAGCAGTGATGCTGATGACAAGAGAACAGTGACCTGTTCAGGTGATGGGCAACCTGCCAGAAGGAGGTCATCTGATGTATAGCGACCCCCTGAAAGGACCTGCTGGAGCTGGACAAAGCTTGCCACAACATTGTTCTGCAATTCAGAAATTAATATAGTGGTCAAATCTCCCATGAGTGAATTTCAGCCAGAAGCCTGACTATCATGACTGGGATTTCTGTACATTTACCTTAGTCACTTTAGGGTAATTTCAAGACAGTACTTTAGGATAGACAGTGACAATTTTATCTTTGCATCTTTCTCATCTCATTACAATGAAAGCCCAGTCCACATCTGTGCATTCTCCCATAATGTAATAGTGAATGTGAATGCGTGGACATTGTTGTTGTAATGTTTGCTTCTTTTCAGTTCAGGGTGTGCGCAATCCATGCTGCTGTTGGAGTTCAAGCATAAGTCAAAGAATATTATGTTGTGCCACCAGAGCAGGTGTGGACATGTATATGTGTGCACAGAAACATGGGTGAGAAATGGCTGCTGAATTTTGTTTACAAAACATCTCGTTCAAGCTCGTAAGGTCCTTTTACATGCCATAAATCTACGACATGGGATCGCCGGCTTTACTTCCCCTCTGAAACAAGTTGTGCTACAGATTTTTATCACCCTTAAAAATCCATCAAACTCGGCCGGGTTTGAACCTGCGAACCTTGGGTCCAGTGGCGAGCACACTAACCACTTGTCCATCGAGGGCGACAGCCATGCTATGTTAAAACACTATATTGTTTTTTCATTCCTATAAACACGAAGATGATATATAAGTAGAGGTGGACCGGAGGTTAAGCTCCATGCACTCAACATGTTATGCTTGGGCCACTTTACCCTCAGTATCCATTGGAGAGGATGCTGGGTGTGCTTAAGAACCCATCTGGACATAAGAGCAATGACAGAAGACCCTGACAGCCAGGAATTAAACCACAGTCATCAGCCTGTAGCCAGACATTTTTCTCACTAAGCTTGATTACCAGCCCCAAAAGCTTACATTTGTCTGCTTAAATGCAAGAATAATTCTGTGCTCTCATATCTTTTCTTATAGCAATGTAAAGAATATTGTTATAAAAATCGATGTTATTTCTATTGCTGTTCCAGATACTGTGGTAGCTTTCTTTCTGGAAACACTAGAAATTGCACATGCTTTGTAATTAAAAAGCTCAAGAATTCAAATTTTAATCTAATTCTAAGTGAGAACAGGGAATTTTTTCTTTGCCACCACTACGTCCAGACTGGAACTGGGGGTCACCCAGCCTCCTAACCAATAGGTACAAGGGGTTTTATCCCCAGGGATAATGAGGGTAGTGTGTGAAGCTTACCACTTACCTCCACCTCCAAGGTTCTAGATTGCTGCGTATATGCCTTTTCTGATATAGTGTTTAGACATATAAAGCACTTCATCTTTACTACAACTAAATATTTAGAACTCCAATACAACTACTGATATGAAGATTACAGATTCACAAAATAAATTATGAAATGGGATGAAGACTTGTATGCTAATTCAGAAGACAATAGGATGATGTGGACAGAAGGCCCAAACAGATAAATCTTAATGGTCAAATTTCATTATGACAATAATAATTATGACATAACAGACCTTTATAGGACGAAAAAGTATAAATTCTGTTTCTCTGTTAGCCAGATACAGCTGCATGCTGCGATGAATGGTTGGTAGTTGGCTTTTGATGAGGCGCTGCGTCTCCTGCACAACATGTCCAATCACATCCGCATGGGCAAAAGGCTGCTGAGCCAAAGTTGCATTCCCTGCTACCTCAGTTTGCATGCTGACAAACACCTCACTCTGAAGAACAATGTTCCACGGAAAATTGGTGTAATATGCTCAACTGACTAGTTGATTAATGATTTAAGCACTCTAACATTGTAGGGCAAAGAATTAAATTATGAATTTGCACATTATATAAATTCCCTCCATTCAAATGTCATTAACTCTCTTGATTTCAAATATTCTCCTCAGCAGTTTGTTCTCAAACATCCTTAATCTACATTCTTCCCTCAGAGTGACACACCAAGTTTCACACTCATATAACACATACATTACAGTTTTATAGATTTCAATCTGTAGATATTCAGAAGTAAACAGCATAATAACTTACTTTATCAAGGAATGTTAGCAGGGGTCCTACTAGACACTTGGTGGTGTGATGTATGAATGCCTCACATGAAGCTTTCAGCTGTTTGTCCACTTCCTTCCTGGAGTCTACCAACTGTTCTCGTACAGTAGGTGTTCCTTCCAGAAGAAATTCTAACAGAGCATTATTTGTGCCTAGAGAGAACAGCTGTTTGCGTTTATGAAGAAGGCTGAATGCTACAAAAAAAATAAACCCACAACTGCATAACTCTCATCATACTTCTTAATATTCAAGATATTTCATAGAGTAAAAACATGCAAGTCATTGATTCAAGTGTAGATTCCTTATTTGTTTGTCAAGTGCATGCATAAAATAACAAAATAATTCAGAAGGTGTCACAATTCATGTTACTTTTTTACTTAGAGAACCTGAGGAAGTTTACAAAAAGCCTCAGTCTGCAGAGATGGCATACAGGTCCAGAACTGAAATGAGGATCTTCTGAATTTAATGGAGAAATCCTAGTTACTTGGTTTGTCAATCAGTTTGTATGGTAGATCAACACTCACCTGCAGTCTTCACTTTGCTGAAGTCCAGGCTCATCTCCTTGATGGTAAAATCTACCTGGAATGGAGCTATCTGTTCCCTCAGAATCAACAGGTGTTTTATCTGGAATAGTTCCCCATCAATTGGACTCTGCAACACAAATGTGAAATGAATTAATGCCTGGATGAAATTTGTTTTATAGAGCGCACATTCATTAACTAGTTCACAACAGCCTGTCACTGAACTCTGTTCTGAGGTATCCACATCCCCAAACTAAGTGCAGACAGAAGGGTAATACTATAACAGATTTAGAAAAAACAGATGGTGAAGTTCTGAAATGGCTCAAAACAAGGTCCAGTATAACGCTTTCTGTGATGCTGATGATGAACATTTAATGGCAGGGAACTGACAACCAGCGGAAGAAAGACTTATACCATACCTTCTTAGTGCAGATAGCTTGAGCAGCAGAAGCCACACTCTGGATGCACATTGTCAGTGCCTCTTGTGAAAGCCCTTGGAAAATTGGCCTGTCCACACAGCGGTACAGGCGCGAAAGGCAGACCAGTGTACGCCGGACTGTGGGATACCACATTCCATGCAAGTCTGCAGGTGAATCTGCATACAACAAGAAAACAGTAAGGAAGGCCAAAAGATCTTCATGGAGGATGTTCTGTCAGGTGAATAAACACGCACCAGGCAGTGCAAGCCTCATGAAGATCATGGAGAAGCTAAAGGTGGATGAACTGAAGGCATACTTTCAGTGTGAAGGGATCAGAGTGAAAGGGTTGAAAAAATTTGAGCTTGTCACCAAGGTGAACCAACACTGTGGCATAGCCCAGATCAATTAGCAACTGTAGGATTTATATGGCTAAAACTGTGATCAATGAAATTAGCATTACAGAACTTTCTGATGACAATTTCACATCAAGTTGTAAGGGAACTCTATGTGAATTACTTAAAATACACCTTCTGGATTCCAAATCAACTGACAAGTCATTAGGACTATCAGTCCAGATAAAATTAGTAGCATTCACCAAAGCATCGACTTAAGAGGGCCTTATGGAACACATTTCTTTAGTAACAAACTGCAATTGTCCACATACTTTCGAATAATATTTGACAGGGGAATGATGTGGAAATTATAGCTGGACAAGTTGACATTGTAATCGACAAAGTTTGCAATCCTTCTGGACATACAGAGGTAATTATGATAAATTCTGAGAACAGTTCAAGAGTGTTGAGTTTAGTGCCAGACATGCTACTAAGCTGACCAATTTCTGTTTCACATTCAAGCAGCTGGAGAGAGCTGTGTGTCAGCAAAGTTACACCTCTCAACACATACTCATTTATGGTATGCAAACTGTGATCACTTACTTCCTGAAGATGGCTGTCTTCTGTGTTGTTGCACTGTGTGGTCTGGTACAAGTTTTCTGCCAGGCTACATGGTGCAACAACCCAAAAGACAGCCATCTTCACACTCACCACCGTGAAAACCTCAAATCCTACAACTTACTTCCTGTTCGTGAACGAGGCTGTTCAAAAGTTACACCACTGTCACTGTTGATACGTGCCACTTCTTGGGATGTGGCAGATCCAATGGAAGCAAGAGATGATCTTGATTCTGAGTGACGCAATGACAAGGCAGCTTGCTCCTGTAGGGACTGGGCAATGCTCTGGAAGACAGAATACTAACTAGAACTGCAGAACAAAATATATAAAATTTCTCTGTAATTTCCCATTTGTCCTGGGTCTTGATGCTAATTTATTGTAGATACAAGTCTACTGCTGGTAAAGTTTGTCACAATACACACCATATAAATAAAAATAATCTTTTAACTTTGTTATGTACAACAATTGATTCACACATTACATAATGTACAATTTCTTTTTAATGAGCCATTTTTGAGAACTATGATGAAAGAATTACTTCAGCTATGTAGGAGATAGGCCATGTCATAGCTCAAGCAGTTAGACTCTGGCTTCTTACTGTGGAGGCCTGGGTTCACACCCAGGTCAGTTCATGTGGAATTTGTGATGCACAAAGTGGAGCTACGATAGATTTTTGGTTCTCCTGTCAGTATCATTCCACTGATACTCCATATTCATTGATGTATCATCTGGGGGACAGACAATAGGCCCAATTAACAGCCCAGTTCCCCAAAAAATAGCCACCCCATCACAAAAACAGAAAAATTAGGAGTTATATAACCAGTAAAATTAAGTTAGTCCAATAACATTCTGTCTAGGCCTACTAAATTTCATTAAAATCCGCTCAAGTCCTGTGGTTGACCAGTAACTGACTGTAGGATCTCCACACTACTGGTTATAGACTGTCAAATGTCATAAATAGTGAATAGATAGTAGGAAGCAGGAAAACCATGAAAATCTCAGTCTGTAACCCACATGAAATGGGAACCGAATATCTTCTGAATATGAATCTAGAACATTTCCACTCACTGTTTTGGGAGACAAACCCTACACTGAAGGAAAGCCTGTGATTATATCTTCTTTCTACCATCATCCTATGATGATGCACCATAACACATACAACTGAGGTTTATCATTATTTCTGAACATCATGGAGGAGACCCTTAGTGCAATGACACAGAAGCAGGGAATTGAACCTGATGATGGCCACACTGGTTCAAAACATGTTCAAGTGAAAAGACAGTGAGTGAAAAGTGACAGAAAAACTAAGAAGCAACATTACACACTGGGATATTACACTACAGACTGTGATTATACCTCCATCATTTCCAGCTTCTCAGGGTATGCAAGATCACCAGCGGCAGGTTTATAATGCAGAATATCTGACTGCAGATAACAATGCGCACGAAACACAAGTCGCTCTTGAACATCCTGCAGAAGTTGCCATGCTACCTGGCCAAATGCCTCCAGTGGACCAGCTGAAATAAAGACAATAATGTCTATCTCCAGTACTCTGTTGCTGCCAGGCCCAGTGCTGGAGACTGTTTCACAGAATGGGAACATTACAACAGAGACATCTGTATCCATAATATATAGCAGAATATATTTAAAATAAAATATTCTGCATCGTTATGTCATCTCTCATCATACACAGTATAAGTTAAAGGTCCAGCACAAATCTAAATGTGTGTTTTACACATGAAAACCATAAGCAAAAAGATTTTATTACACATACAATATTCACACCCCTCATACAGGTGCACCAGAAACACCTGATGGTTTTTGAAATGTAATAACTTTTCAAAGCAGAGTGGAAAAATGTATTAACATAGGCAGATGCATTTCCATTTTCGTCGAGAATTTGTTTTAAGCATTACTGTTCGAGTATGACGTCTTGCAGGTGACGTCTGTGTTCAACACACTTCTGCAGTCGAGACGGCATGGATGTCATATCACGTTGTAGCATACCATACCGTCACCTTTGCACTTTGCAGAGGGCATTGGTGAAGTTCACACGGGTTGTTTGCAGCCCAAAAACGACAATCTTGTTCATCCACATAACCTGAAATGGGAAGTGGGCCTCATCTGACATCAGTAATGAGTTCACAATGTTGCGATTATTATTCACTAAGTTCAAGAATTTATTGAAAAAATTAAGTTGGTTCACCTTGTCCTGTTCACTAAGTTCCTGGGCAACTTGGATTTTGCAGGGATGATAATGAAAATCTTTCTTTAAACCAAGCGCGAGAGCTTGCTATCGAGCTGACCTGTAGGGACTTCGCAACATGGCTTCTCTTACTTGCTCCTCATTTTCAGGTGCACCCACAGAACGAGGACGTCCTTTAGGTTTACTGTCGTACACTGATCCTTGGTGACACCATTTTGATACCCACAACAGCAGAGTAATTTGACTAGGTGCATCGCAAGTTTGAAACTGTAGTCGGAATCCACGCTGTGTAGCTGTAATTGACTCACTTCTCATAAACGGTTCCATAGCCGCATTGTGGTGTTGCAATTGACCAGCGCTCCATCTAAACTAAACTCCAAAAAGCACTCTACATAATGAATGCTAGTATGGAAGTGCAGTGTAGCAAGAAGGATGGTAATTACATTTCAAAAACCATCAGGTTTTCTGGTGCATCCTGTATAATGTTGTAGACTTACGATTGTTCTGAACATGTTCCTCAAGCATTTCAAGCCGCAGTATGCTGCACACTTCAGCTAGCGTTTCCAGATGATTTATATGAATAATGAATGGTCTTAGAACATCGTACAATACTGTACAGAGGCCCTCAAGGTAAGACCTGGAACAAGACAGAAGAATATATACAGTATAATGAAGTTAGATGAAAAGTATACAAAATGTTCAGGGAAACATGGAAAAATAGAACATAGTGTGCAGAAGAGGAACAGATGTGAAATGAAAGACATACCTAACAAAATATAGAAAAACAAGGAAGAAGATCTAAGAAAGAAGCCGACAAACAAGGCATGAGAATACTGGGAATATACCAAGAGGAAAAGCAACAGAGTGGAAAATGAAACGTACAATAAGGAAAACATAAAGAAAAGATGAAGCAGAACCTAAAAAATGCAGACATGCCTGGGAAGAGAGTATTGCAAAAATGCATACATGAAAAAGAACAGGATAGAAAATTAAAGATTTCGTAATGAAGTACTAGCACAGCAGACAAGCCAAGAAAGACAAGACCAAAGACAAAGAGGGAGACATATAATTCTGGGAAGAACCTATTCAGAACATTCTGTAAGCACATTAAATAATTACAGGTGGAAAGTCAACAAACGAGACCTAGAGGAAGACCAAGTGAAACCTGTAAAGAAGGCATTCAAAATATATGGGGAAAGGAAAAAAAATATGATGGAATATAGTGCTGAATGATTTTACTGGCAATAATCTGTACTCATCTGGTCAGCATGAATTTAATTATTTAGTATGTAATGCTGGAGAGGGAAATTTATGAATGATGTATTGAAAAGGATGCAAAGGAACAGTCATGGCCTATTTTAAGCTGTTATTCCAGTGTTTGCCAGAACAACTAAGTTAAAAAATGAAAACAGCAAAAAAGAACCCAGCCTCAGGGCCTAGATTTCAATCAGAGATGTCCCTAATACAAAGCAGGAGTACATTGTTCAGCAATATACATTTGTTTTCTCCATCTCTAAGCATAGTCAAAAAAATAGTCAAACTGTGAGGCCTAATTTTGTATGATATGATACAAAGTGCACAAGAATCAATTCAGGATTGGAATAAGTGAATTAATTTGTTGTTTCTGCATTTCCGCTTTACCAATCATGTCATGGTCTATTTGTTGCAACAAATTTAATTACTATATTCTGGTAAGTATTGTGTACATTCATCATAAAGACATTTGAGGTAAAATGTTCTTCAAAATCAGAATTAAAACCAAACTCTTAATATCTCATTTGGTTCAATATTACAAGAATATTTTGCCATAGTGCTAGCAAACTAGTAATTCTTAGCTGCACAGAACTGAAGTCCATAGGATCCAAAACATCAGTTACACCGCAACAATTCTTGGCTCTGGCCTGACAAGTAACATTTAAGTAATATCATACAGTCAAAAAGCTACCCTCTCACGCATGTTAACTGAAAGTTTCCACACCTTAAAATGTACACCCAGTTCCTGATTAAAGGGTTGAACTTGTAGATAAAATCTTAGCCACCCCCTCAAACATGAAGGGTTAAACAATGTATTGTTGGTAAATGAGTGAAAAGATTCAAATTGCATTCTGCATATGGTATTATTACATCTAGCATGCAAGGGAGAAGCAACGGATGCATATGAAAGTTTGAGAAACTCAAGGGAAACTACTCACGTGAGCAAAGGAGTGGGCTGGCTAAAGAACTGGTAAAACAGTTGGTACTCATCCTGGCACACATGAACTAGACACGCACAGCTGCTGCGCACTAGGGAACAGTGGTCACCCTTGTGTGTGACCGATAACTCTGTTATTGATGTTGCCACACTGGAACTCAAGAGAAGCTCCCTCTGTGTGAAGTAGCACTGGTGACATTCTGTCAGCAGCTGCTGGTACCTGCATGTGACACAGTGTGAAATTACTAGAGTTCCCTAAAATAATGATGGTGACATTTTACTACCAGTTGTTGGTACTTGCATATGATATAGAGTGACACCTAAAAGTTGCATGCGCCATACCTCACTTATTTCAGTGATGTGAGCACACGAGATGGCATATTTCTGTACAAAGAAAAAGGAATAATACTCCAGCTTGGAGTACACAAAGTTTACATCCCTTGTCCTTATTTGTGTGTGTTCATTACAGATACAAAATTACTGTTCAAAGAGCTAATCAACAGTACAGATATGACTGCATAGAGACATACATATTTTTTATAACAGAAGGTACTTAGAAGTACGCCACAAAAGCATGAATGATTTTTTTTTGTATTTTGTTAAATTAACAGAATAGTGAAAAATATGTACGTTAAAAGTTATAGACATTAACATTGTCTATATTTTAAGTAATTTACACATTTTTGGAACAAATATCCATTTGTGAGATACCTAATAACATTCCATTCCAGCGTCATGTAAAGTTATGTTATAATGGACTGATACAGATCAGAATGAAATTACATGAACAACTTTTAATATAGACTATGTAATGCCAAATTTAATTAAAATCCAGTCATAAGAAGTTCTGGATCTAAGTATGTAGACTGATGGCTGGACAAGCATGACTTCAAAATTCATTTATTGATTTTGTGCAAAGAATGCAAGGTCAATCATCAATCATCATGTATGGAAACAGACAAGGTTCAGAATAACTTACTCTGGACTGTGGGTGACTCTAGATTCAACTTGTGTAAGAAGTGGCTTCACACGTGCAGCTGAGGCCTGGAATTTTCCATAACACAGAGCAAAGCCTGTACTATGCATAGCAGCCATGGGTACATGTGTCGCTGGTGCCAGAACTTGCTGTGTTGCATGCTCTAGCACATCTACTACATGGCCACGTATCATGGCCACAATACGGGAAAGGCAGTGGCGGAACCGGGTAAGATATGAACTTGATTCTCTCCACTTGCTCTAACAACAGTAACAGTAACAATAACAATTTTCATTTTCAGTAACTATGTTATGGTTAAATAATTCAATGTCAATACAAAAACACTATTAACATAACAACTGACTGTACTTAATGAGGATAGGAAAATCACCTGGGAAAGACATAAGGAGTGCCTAAAAATACTTGCTTCTTTTGTGCGTTGCAATCAGTCAAAGAAACTCCTTGGCAACAACTTGATTACTTTCTAATAACCACTAACACATTCTGGTTAGGAACTGTAACACTGTGGACTACACCATCTTCAGTGGCAGCCAGGATCCATGCATAACGTTAATTCTAACACATCTTGTTTCCCTGCTTATTTCTCATAAAACTTTGGATTCATCACTGGATTAAATAAGACACCACATAGGTTACTTACTTTGTTTTTCCAGCATATGATGATTTCATAACAATAAATACAGAATCAGGTATGTTTACACAAAATACTGATTTCATGAGAGGTAGCACAAAGTTTCAGGAGTGTCACACAACATACACCTCGGCCCTTCTTCTGAACATTAGAGTTTAAACCACCAATACATGTTCTGATATTGTTGACTGGGAACAAAGTGGAGAAGAAATATAAAGTGTAATTTTAAGATATTCTGTTTGATGAAACAGCTTACAAATTTCATACCACTCATTTGATATTCTCAACACAAACCAGAACTTCTGTACAAAGAGTTTCTATGATCCATACCTATTGACCTGAATTAATATGCTAGATTTATAGGAGAGGAAGGAAATATCCTTAACTTAATTTGTTCGTGGTCAAAGAGCAAAATAAACAACCTGCACATTACATGGATGGTAGAAATCATCACGCCTTCACTGCAAAGCAATAACAATTCTTGGTGGGATTGAGGTGCTTTTGAAAGAAGAATATACAAATACCATATTTCATTAAATAGTTTTACAAATATGGTTTGTATTTAGTATACTAGTCTCTCCTATATATGACTTTAAACTGTTAATATTATATCAGTCTTCTTGGATGTTGGGTGGAATGTGAACCCAAAAAGCCAGCTCTAAATGTGGCTGTACTGCACATCAATTGCAAAAACAAAATGATCTCATTCCTCCATTCTACACATCATAGTTCAAATCTAATGTAACTCCAGGCATTTCTTCTGATTCCAAATCACTTTAATGTTGTGATGTCTATGGCAAAACTTTATTAAAAAAAACTCAAACATATCAGGCGATGGGACATACAGAGAAAGTATACTTAGGTAGTAAGGATGGAGAAGGTTATAACTTAAGAATCCTCAATCCTCTTGAAACGTCTGGTCCAACATAAAATAAAATATTGTTACAAAATAATGGTCTGTGCCAGTAATGTAGTTGACGTATAAATTATTTAAATATACAGTTTCTATTAACAATTTTCAAAACATATCCAAGAGGTCTGTCACTCACATGGGCTCCTATGTACTCCATGCACTGGTCCAAACGGTCAAGTATGTCAACAAAGGCCTCACTGGAGACACAGAGGGTAGGGGAAGCTAGACGATTGTTGAGAGAGTCCAGAGTCATGAAGTTCTGAAGTCTCTGCCCAACTTCCTCACATGTATTATGCAACTTTGTCTGAAAGAACACATAGAAGACTACTTAGATCACACAATTATGGCTTAGAATATCTTCTGAAAGGTAAGATTTCAGATTCTTGTGGTGATGAGTATAAAGATGATTATCTTCTGTGATGATGGAGGCAGCAAAGACCTCTGAAACATTGGTAAACTTCTACCAGACTACATGGCGCAATAACCCAGAAGACAGCCATCTTCAGACTCACTGCCGTAAAAACCTCAAATCCTATCTTCTGGGATGTTACACCATGTAGTTTCGTACAAACAGACTGGTGTTTCAGAGGTGCTTACTGCCTCTGTCATAAGGGCAATGAGTAAGAACCTCTCAAATTTTGGCAAATTTCTACCAGACTACAAGGTGTAACATCCCAGAAGACAGTCATATTCTCTTCTGAAAAGTTAAAGTTATGTAATATTAAACATAGATATAGAACAGAATCTTGGATATGAACTATGCGAGATGCAAGAAGATTAAAAGTGGCGAAAAGAAATTTCTATAGAGAACTAAAGCAAACAAGAAATAAAATCCAGAACTGGGATATCAGACAAAATTTAGAGGTATGAACACTGCAAAAAAAAGTTACTAAAATTAAAAATAAATTTGAATGGACATGTATTACATATGCACAACAATAAGATTCCTTTTTGACCCTAAAAATAATATGTACAATAAACTAACATTGGGGAGACCAAGGGCAAGGTGAAATGATGAAGTGAAAAAAGATAGGTGACACAATGTCAAAAGTCCATCTACTCTGGTGCAGCCATAAACAACTTTGATTGAGGATTATTGAGATGTATGCTGTAGGTTGCTTCAAGCTGGTCTGTCAGTATTGCAGACAAATTACCAGTCTCAATTTTGAGGAAAAGTATCCTCGGACTTACATGTAGGCTAATTTCTCTAAAATACGGCAAATCAGCTTATCACAATTTAAAGTCACTGGTAAAAAATGAAAGCACAGTTCTCTCTACTGTGCTGTACTGTATGTATTGACTTATGATTTTGATGAAATGCTTATGACCATGATATTAAGAAATGTGATTTAGTAAGGATTCAGTAGGACAGTGTAGTGCTATATATGAAGGTAAATAATACTCACAATAAAGATAACACAATCATTCGTGATATGATGTAAATATAACAATACCTGATCCGCCAATAGCTGTTCGCTAACTTGATGCAAGGAGTTTGTCCTGTTAGACACAACTTGGTATTGTTCCATAAGGCAGCTAAGATCTTTCAGGGCGGATTCAATCTGAAAGAACCGGATGTGAGCAGTGAATTTATGAACAGAACCAGGAATGTGAGATGAAGCTTTTGTGGCAGCTAAATTCAATAAAAATCTTCTCGGGCAATTTGCTACATCAATTGGTTAAATAAATTGACCAACGTTTCAGGAACCATTTCCATACCCATCAACAGGGTTCTGATGTCAGACTGCCCAAGAAGATTTTACTGAACCAGGCATGGCCTGTTTTACAGGACTATTCAAATAATTAGTTATAATTGCAGAAAGCTTACTTGTGACAAGAGAACTGCACATTCATCTCTTTGCTCAGCCAGCTGATGCCAATAGTCCGTGAACCGAACATCTTCTGCTTGCAGAAGTTCTTCTTCGACATGGGAATACCAAGACAAGAACTGCCAAATAATGTTTGATAAATATATTAACTGGAATGTGTATAACAAGCAACTGTCAATTTTAAAAACGTAAGTTATGTAACATTACCTGTTGGGTGGTTTCAATTTTAACTCGGCCAAGTTCTAAATTGACAAAGCTTTGTGCTAGATCATGACAGGTAATTTCATTATCTTTATTAAATGTTACTTCGTCATCATCACCAAAGGGTAACTGAAAATTACAAAGCAAAATAAAATACACATAAAATCGATAGGCACATAATAATTCAAAATATTAGCTATAAACACCTTTTTTAAAACAATTAGAATAGCCGAACTAATAACATTGAGGTTATCTCCTTCATGCATGTCTGTCAACCTGGTTCACTTACGTCATGCGGAATTGTCCTTATATTAACTTCCTGTGATAGATCTAAAACAGCATCTCTCTGTGATGTGCTTAAAGGAGCTAAAGGCCTATCTGGTTGTTCCCATTCCAATAATTTGTTTTGTACTTTCCTAATATCAAGAACCGCCACGTCGGCCATGATACCATCATGGCTGCTCATGCAGCATGCGACTGTTCTTTTGATTCCGGTTACAGATCATTGTTAACATTATATAGACAACTCAATATTTATAACAGATTATCTTCATAGGCATTTATGAGAAATGTCTATTATATGGGTAAATTTAAAATAGTACACAAGAAAGTCTCATTTATACAGCTATTAGAAGTGGCGCTTTCTCTTGCACATTGCTGCCGTCTGTACAGACAGCTCAATACCAATCTCGGACACCGATGACGCTGTCGGTAAAAATACACACTGATGACATAATTATATAAATGTCCCATTAGTTTTCGTACTTCAGCCATTATTATAATACAGAATTTTGACAGAACTCTTGACTTTGGGTAGGAATTTATTTCCACTATATTCGGTGCACATGTTCGTAGAATTTCATACGAGCACATAAGACTAAACTCATGAAACAGAACCCAAAAGTTCAGTGCAAACACCAACTAGTGGAACAAAAGCCAGTTAATTCCATCTCACCTTCATAATCCACTACCTACCTTAATATTATTCTTCTTCCCATTCTCAATTTGTTTAGTTCCCAAACAAATATTCCAAATGATTTTCTGTTGTGCACTGTATTTGGTAAGTGTATCTTTATTACTTTCTGAACATTGTGCCACCATAACTTACCTATATTTTTAAATTCACTATTACTAACTACATCAGAATTATAACTGCACAAATTTCGGTCAGAGTACTACTGGTACCACTGCATGTATCTGGCAATACTTGAGAATTTTCATTGAAGTAATTATTGGTAGAATCCAAAATAATGTAACAAACATAATAAACAATTTTTACTTTCACTGGTAACGTGACCATTGTTGGTAGAATGGTGTACGATGCCTACAATAGGTCACAAACGTGTGTGTAAAATGAAAGTTCAATTGCAAGCTTGCATCTTACTTGAATAGATAACAAACATATATAAAATTATAGCAGACAAAATGGAAGGCAAAGACTATTTGTAAGACCTGTGTGTAGATGCGAGGATACTAAAAATGGATATAAACGAAATAGGGTGGGAGAGTGTTAACCGAATTCATCTAACACTGAACAGAAGGCAGTGGTTGGCTTTGCAAATACAGCACTGACAGTTCATGTTCCTTAACACATATGAAATTTATAATTAGATGAATTATTATTAACTTCCTATGAAAGAATATTGCATAAAGTTAGTTTTAGTTGGTTATCTTACTCAGACAACTAATTTAGTACAGCAATTACATGCATGGATAATTACAGGAGAACGTATTCAATAAATAAGAATACTCAATCAAATAATGATTTTATTTCCTTATACATATACGAATAAGGAACCACCATGTCCTAAGCCACTCTTTGCTTTACAAAGCACATAAAGTAAGCTTGTTCATATGAACTCCTTTCAGTCCATTCCATTGTATATATACACAAGAAATCTGAAATCATAACATCCTCTCTCTTCGTCTACCAGGCTGCCAATAAAATATTCATCCTATAAACAATGTACAGTTAACAGGTAAACGCATGTACATACATACGCACGTACATATATATATATATATATATACACACACAGCTGGCGGTTTCATCTACCAAGTGACCATTCCACTTCCATGTTGTAAAATATATTACTCTACATTCCTTTTCCTGTATGGTAAAAAAGCTTGATCTTAAGTCTGCTGACAAGGAAAATACATGTTACAAATTCCACTTGAGTGACAGAACTAACCAACAATTTCAGTTTGGTATCTGTGAAGTCAAATCTTTCCTTTTGGCACAGTCTACTAGAAATAAATGAGGTTAGAAAAATATTCCTTAATAAATTAATGTACTACACAATGTATGACATACAGAAGCCACAATTCTAGATATATGTTTTGTTATGCATTAACAGCATCCAAAACCGGTCCAGTTGTAACCTCAAGCTGCTCAATGTTAACACACATGGAGACAAAGCTTAATTAGTAGCAATTAGTTCTGCTACTAGCGAATAGCGACAATGTGAAACTTGCGGCATCCCTCATGCACTTTCAAGTCAATCCAGTACCGAAGTTCTCATTCACACATTCACCCCGGAAATTATCACTCTTCTTGCAGACAACATTTCAATATTTTGATTGATGCAGGAGCATAAATATGTGTCAGCCATAAGGAGGGAAGAGAAAACAGTGGTACATTTTCATCCTTCATTGTTGCTTATTGTCTTGTTTTAGCAACAATTGTATTATACTGAACTTGTATTTAAAAAAATATTCAGTTTTGTTCTGATGTAAACATTACAACAGAAAGCATTTTATTTCATATTGCCTCTCCACCCCTGCAATGACACAGTTTTCTGTCACACGTTAGTGCAGATACAAACTCTCTTCTCTTTGTTACTATGTAAAATGGCCAGTTTGCAGATTCTGGAGTGGAAAGGGTTGAAGGAACTGTCCTGTAGTTATGTATGAAGAAAAGAAAGCACCAACCAGAAAGTTTAGAGGCATATTAGTCAAAAGTCTTTATGCATTTGATATAATTACAAGCAGGTAAACTTATTATGAAGTAAATATATACATATTTATATTTAAAAAAACTAACATTATTTTCAAATAGCACAGCCATATGGACTTTTTCCCCATGTCTCTTTCGACCAGTAACATTAGGAAGGGGAAAGCAAAAATACTGAATAAACTCTGATATTCTGTTAAAATGGGTCATCCATAAATTGCATTATTGCATAAACACCCAGTACACTCTACATCTGAAACCTTGAAAAGTGAACTTATTTCAAAAACATCTCTACATCTTCAGTAGGCAAGCTGCATTAGTAACACAGATTCTTTTCTTGGTCTTGGAAATATATAATGGCACAGCAACACAACACAGGAAATTCCAGTACCGCAATAGAACATTAACTTCACTCTGTCATAACCAATAAACAAGACATTATTGTTAGCTGTCAATGTTTGATCAACTCTCAATCTGGCAAATGCTTAGAAGCCACAATGTATTGAATGTAGTTTACATGTATATTAAGAGATGGCATAACCACACAGAATGGTTCTCAACAGTTCTGCTTCATAGACTATATAGAGGTCTCTATTGTAGCTGATAGTCAATTCTTGCACAGCACATAGCACTCAGCTTGTTGGTATGAGGGTTAAAATTGAGGCACCCTATGTCTTGGTACAAGATTTCTGAGGAAGTACAGACCAACATCAGACAGCTAAAAGCACTTAAGGTACAAAGGGCAATAATTCAATGAATGAGATCTTGAAAGATTAAACAACAACAATCTGCTTAGGCTATAACAGTAAACTGACAGCTGAACTACCAACAGATTCATGTTTCAAGTACTCCAACAATTACATTTTTGGAGCAGAAATTACGCATTTAAAACCAGTGCTATTCCTTTACAACCATTTTACAGAGTCTTATCATTTGTTCTCTTATGGACAACTCATTTTTGCATAGTTTCATAGCTGCATCATCAGAATTATGTTATTAGATTATGCTCGAAGTAAACCGCATATAATGAAAAACAGGCATGAAGCAAAAGTTCCATTTACCAACAATCAAATTTTTCATTTTCACCCAACATCTATCAAGAAAACTGTTTTAACCTATCTCAAAGTGATTTTAATTTGTATAATATATGGGCTAACAGCAAAAACATGTTTTCCAAGACAGCTCATTTATAGGTAAAATGACGATGTTTCATAGCAAAGAGAAAGTCTTAGTGACAATTCGGTCATACGAGCAATTCCTACAATCTGATCGACACATGCTTAGCAGTTAAAAAATAAATATGGCAATCATGATATGTCCAGAGATTTGTATTCTTAAAAAAAGCATACTAAATCATGACAGCTTCATTCACTACAAACATTCCTGGCAACTGTTAAATTTACATTCAAAAACTAACAGTTTTTCAGTCTCCACAGATTCGCAGAGAAAGTGTCATTGTGTGGGTACACGTAGGATGTCTGAATACAACATAAAAGGAATAAAAACTTTCTCCACCACTGAATCAAAATCTGAACAGGCTGTTTTTCAGAGGCTGGTCATCTGATGCGTGTAAAGACACGGCACAACCATGCAGCAAGATCTATGCATTTTTATATTGTTATTCCCTGTAAATGTTACTAAATGTTTACAAAACAGCCCGACAGGCTGGGCAGTAACAGGGATAACATGAAATTACATGATACCAACAAAAAATAACTTACAAGATAACTGTTATGTTGTAGATTGTCATTATGAAGCTTTCATGACAGTACCCACACAATATTATGGCAATCAGGACTAGACCTATGCAAAACACTGTGCTTTTCAAAAGCGACTTCTTCAGCATTTGCAGTTCCAAGAAAGAGCCAAGCACTGACTTCAGACGTCTCTATGACAATTTCTGTTCAGGGCATGAATTGTGTGGTAAAGAATCGCTTGTAGATTATGCCAGAAGTACGTGAAATCTTGATAATACTGCTGTAATTCCTTCTGATTCTAATGCAACCAGCTTTTATCCTTCACAGTCCATTGTAAAATAATCTCACACCCAGATAATTGGGCAGGTAATGGGAACAAAGTTATGACATGGAACCATTTGGTGGCTGCTGTGACTGTTGATTCTTGCTGCCCTGCTGTGTAGTGCTGCCACCTAGTTGTGCCAGAGTCTCCTGAGATGCATGAGCCTTGAGGATGGTGTTCTCCAGCTCCAACTGATTGATCCTATCCATCAGCTCTGCAATCTTTTCCTTGAGGACTTCAACTTCTTCCCGGACAGCAAACATGAGGTGGCTCTTGACAAGATCCTGCAAGAAAACAAATGGCAGCATAACATCACAGCTCCTCTTTCTGTTAATTAAATATGTGGCAAAGAATTACTCAATGCAATTATATCTGCCACAAGAAAAACTGACACATTTATTATATAATAAATAATAAACAGAAACTTCAAGTCCAAAACATAAGATATGTGATTTTGTAAGTTTCCAATTAGGTCAAACAGAAACCAGTGAATAGAGCACCAAGTGTCACGGTAATATACAATATTAGAACTTAAATTCTTTTCTTTGAGTTTCATGTTTATGATATCCAATTATCCAACTTAGCTGATTAAATAAATCAATTAATTTGATCAGGCTGATTAATGCATGTCATGACAACCAGAGGTTTAACACATTTCACCAGAACCCTAACACCAAGGGCAAAGGGTTCCAGATAGATAATCTGTCACACATTTAAATTTAGTAGCTTTTTAAAATAACAAGTGGAAAGGTATATCAAATGAGGGTAAACACCTTCCAAATAGATTTTTAGCAATTCTGCATGCCTCTTTGGTCTTGCACTTAATTTTTTTGCAGCTACAACTCAACGTTCACACAGCTGCGCACGCGCGCACACACAGAAAATCACTGTAAACTCATACTCCAGTCAGCAGCACCAGTCTGTGTCCAGTGGAGTCAGAAATTTGTCAACAGCATAGATTACATACCACCTGAATAATGAAATAACAAGTCTGATTTCTTAATGTTACTCTAGTCTGACTTAATATCTATGCTTGCACTCAACTGATAATGGAATTTACTGTTCTTATCTTGGCCAACAGGAAAAGTCATCAGATACTGACATGGCAAACAGCAGAGATGAAAGGCGCAGAAAAAGTCTGTCATACAAATAAGTGTTTCAAACAAGCAGATTTAAAGGCAATCTACATACATTTTGAAACATGTCAATTTTATACATGATGAACCATTTGTAAGTTGCTGAAAGTTGACTGACAGACACAACTTCCACACAGTGTTTTCAAGTTGTGTATTTAATGCAACAAATGTTACAAATATTCGTTTAAATTTATCCACTGGCCTTTCTTGTGATAAAATGATGAATGGCAAATCTTATTACAGCCATATTCTCAGTTCCACAAAATGCTTCAGCTGTAGCACAGAAAGTCCCACTGTCTCGGAACCCACCTACTAGCATGCTTTTATTTTTATTTATTTAGTGTTCTGTCTGACGACAGGTCGATATGAACAGGATCCTTCCATCCTTTTCTCGGACTGGGACCTGTTCATATACGTTCTTGGCAGATGATCCAGAAGTGGTTTGCCATTGCCTTCTTCTGTGAGTGAATGGAGTAATTGTTGGGATGTCACGGACAAACCGGGGAAGCCCCCTGAGGAAAACTCCGTGTTGCCTAGACCACGGCCTTGCCCAACACAAGTTATAAATTCGGGCACTGCCGGGAACCGAACCCGAGACTCCAGGATTACAAGGTTAGCGTTCTAACCGCTAGCCCACCGTGGCGGTTACTAGCATGCTACAGTCAGTTAATTCAGTGCTGTGATCTGCTCATTTCCTGATAGTTCGCTCACTGCTACTGCAGGGTGAAGTCATGGCTGGTTGCACGTTAAGTGGGACACACTGTACAACTGCATTTGAGACATAACAACTGTGGAGCCACGCCGTCTACCTGCAGTTTGGGAATACACATCGACTGTGTCGCAATAACAATACATACAACCCAGCTATGCCATCTATAAGTAGTAATTCCAACTATAGTACAATACTTTCGCAGAAGCAATTGTTTTATTATGTCACCAGACTTAAGAAGTAATAATAAAGTTTCGTTTCAATCTTGGTACTCCTTTTCTGTACATATCCTAATTAAACTCAACACCTAAATAAACACACGTTCAATGAAAGACAATGAACATTCACATAAAAAACTAATTGCGACCTCGGAAAAAAGTTTTAAGAACTGTCTGTTCAGGTCATCACCACCTTAATAAAGAATGGTCAAGGCAATCACAAATATTCTGACAAGTTACAGTTAGCAAAGCGCTGCTATGAGCGGTGACATCATCCGTTGTTGATAACGTATCATCAGTAACATCTCCCACCCTATCAATCATCACTCTTTGAGCGGCGTTGAGTGAATACTTGTGCTGTCTGCATTTCGGGTGTTAAAAATCAACACGAACACGTGTCAACAAGAAGCATTATGACTCCGCTGAAAATCTCAAGGAAAAACTCCGCACGACGATTACCTTAAAATCCTTCAAAGTACAGTACACGAAGGCACCCTGATTTGAACATGCTGAATCCCAGATCATGAGCCCATCAATCCTACACACGCAGCGGTTCGAATTTGACTTAGAATTCTGATCATTATCATCGTAATTTTTCGTATCAGGAAGTATTCTCGAGGTACCCACTATCTCCCTACATGTACACACTTGTCCCCGCCCAGCAGCACAAATTTTTATAACGGCTTGCAGGCGCTAAATAAACCGAAAAAAAACCCACCAAAAAATCAGGGATAAATCTGAACCGTCCTCACAACCGTCTTGTTGCGAAACCAGAAGTTCAAATGTCTCTAATACCAAAGATCGTCGTCGGACACAATTTTAAGGTAGCCCCAGCCACATTCCACCTTCATCCTATATCCCAGAAGTAAATATCCACATTGATCTCAAATCTCCTCCGCCTTACAAACTGTGACCTTCCAAAAATTTAAGACCACCCCATCGTAGTAATCCCCACGACTACATTGCCCGAACAACGCTAGGCGAGTTACAACATAAAAGAAATCACGAAGATCGTCGTTATGTATAGCATCCACCGTCCATTCGCATTCAAACGTTCTCCACAGCGTTTTATTTTCAAACACTTGTCTGTACGCAGAGTTAAGTAAATGCTTGTGATGTAGGCGGCCTGGCAGGCTAATAGATGATGATATGTGCATGCGTGACGCCCCTATTCCTGAGAGAAGAACATTAATCTTTGTCGTTCCGCTGTTCGTAGTATCGCTGTTTACTTGTTTCCTAGTTACTAATTTATAACTTTGTGTTACGAAGTAATACCAATAAATTCCACATAAAATTCGAACGCGCACTACGTTTTTCGATCAAATAGTAGTGCGGCACGTGATTTCTCACGCCACATACGTCACGGGGACTTTGGTCTTCCCTCAGCGTAGAGGTCAGCCATGTTTCACCAACATCGACCAATTCCGGACACGATGTCTCAGTCGGAACAGGTACCAACTAGTCAGGGAATTCTCTATTGTGGGACTCAAACCACACTATTATGATCAGTAAACACTTCCATATAATTTTGTATCTTTTAACAACAACATTAACATTGTTTCCCCAGGCCTCTTCTACCTTAGTTTTGCAACCAAACCCTCCACACCTGGCAGATCCCACAATGCCTTGTGAAGTAACGAAGCCTATCGTACTTTCTCTGTTATAGCACCACTGTGCGGAACACGCAGAACCGGTTCCCTGAAACAAACTGGGTTGCTGATATATGAAAGTGGCACACTTCGGTCGGTAAAATAAACAGATGCGATGAAATAATAAGGCCCATCACAAGCAAAATCAAAGGAAGGATAAAATTACATTTCTATTTATTAATTATTTCAGACTATTTTGAAACAAGTCTTAGTATCACGGCCTGGTCCTTCTAGTAAAGTAAAAGTAAAGTTACCCCCGGGAAAGGACCCGGGTCCCCATTGTAGAGGAGGCTAGGTGGGCCCCAGAGCCGGTCTGGACGCAGAGGCTAGATAAAAAATCCTCTGCCCCCGTCGGGGATCGAACCCCGGTCGTCCAGCTCGTAGCTAGTCACTATATTGACTGAGTTATCCCGGCTCATGGTCCGTCTAGTGCTGCAAGATATTAAGTGGAAAGGTGTACACTAAATTGAAACAGGACTGTAAATTGCTAATCACAATCAGAAATATACAGTTAATAAAAATTGGCTGCAAACAATGCAAGTTATAATACACATTACTTTGTTAAACACATAATATCGACAATGTCTCAAAATTGTATGTCAAAGAATGTATTTTACCTTCTTTGTGGCAGGCAATCTTTTCTGTGTTATGAAGTTAGATTTGAGCTTCATGCCAAGGAAAGGTTACACTGGACGATGTGGACCAAATGCAGCTTTTCGACAACGAACTTTAGAGGCGACTGGGAAGTGTATTTGAGATTAAACGTGCGGATCGACAGGCACAACGTAGCCACTACTCTCATGTCTGTTTACTACACATAAGTAACACATGAGGGCAGGTTCACGCGCCAAAGCAAGGCATGCAAACCATACTCAAGCCAATACAGTGACGTAATAGGAAAAATACGAACTAACATAAGGATGGAGAAAACTACAATCTTTCACCAAATCAAAACAAGATACTGAGATGGGTAGGATAAAACACTAACCGCCCATTTGCTCTCAAAGAGCAGGCTCCATCAAATTCGATAACCCTTCACCCTCATTAACACGGCTAAAATAATTTCACATGGCAAAGACCTGCCAAAGTTATATATAACACAGGCTTAAACGTGAAATGCTCGTGACGGATTAATATGTCAAAAATACTTCGCCGATCACTGGTGACATGATATCTATTCACGGGACGGTTAAATACCAGGCTGCACTGACTATTTCGCAATAATCTGGCCCTGAGCCGTCATGCTTCATGCATGTAGCCTGCTCCTTCAGTTATCTACAAAATCCTTTACGCTATAGATGAAACGTGTCTTGAGGATGCCGGCCATTAGTTCTACTGACTGACGCAGATTGCACTTGGATGGTACAGAGACAGTCAAGTCTACATTGAATAACGGTTCAGAAGACACAAATCAGGCTCATAACTGGTCTAGTCGATGACCTGGGCATAGATCTCCGAGTTCTATCCCAGGGGGAGGCACAGACATACTCATAGCGCACCTCACATGCCCGCTACTGCTTTGAAACGCATTAAGTTACGAACCGTTAGTTTCCGGGAATACCTCAACGAAAAAAGGGTAGACTGCCAGAAACAATCCGAAGCACGAGTCAAACTCGCCTCGGTCAGCGACAGTCCAGGAAATCTAAGGGCATTCATCCCCTCTGTAAAACTGGTTGTGTGAATTCTGACCAACCCTACTTGTGTAAGCAGCATTATCTTTATCAAATCTAAAACTTCTTCACGATGGTGAAGAGTCAATTGAATAAAAATTTTCTTGGATATTATCCATCGTCTAGTAAATATAAAACGTAAAACGACGTTTCGGAGATGGGACTCTATCTCCGCCTTCAGGTTCCTACACGTGTAGGTCCCATCTCCGAAACGTCGTTTTATATTTACTAGACGATGGATAATATCCAAGAAAATTTTTATTCAATTGTCAGCATTATCTTGATCAACACGAGTCTCAATAAACCACATATCCCCTTTTCACCCCCCCCCAACATATGTACCACTAAGGCGGAGATAGAGTCCCATCTCCGAAACGTCGTTTTACGTTTTATATTTACTAGACGATGGATAATATCCAAGAAAATTTTTATTCAATTGTCAGCATTATCTTGATCAACACGAGTCTCAATAAACCACATATCCCCTTTTCACCCCCCCCCAACATATGTACCACTTACTTACCTATCCATCCATCTCGGCACGAACAGGACCATTACAAGCTTTAACTTAAATATACCGGATTTCTGAGTTCAGACGCGAGGTGATGCTAAAAAGAAATCATTTCACAGCGTCTTCCGTGAATCCTAAAAAAAGGATGTAAAATAAATTACAAGAAATAAGTAACGTATGTGAAAGTAAAATGAAAGAAAGACGCACAAATAAAGAAACGTACACACAACGACGCAATTCTGGCGCCTTCGCCTTTGAAAATGGCCACATTTCATTTCGAGCGCAGAAACGCGTGGATGTCTCGTGTAGAAACAAATATCGAAAGAAAGAGAAAGCAAAAGAAACCGAAAGAGGAAAAGAAAAATAATTTGTGGGACAAGTGATGCTTATCAAACGTGCAACTTATCTTAAGATTTGCCTTTCTAGTTGCCACTCGGTCTGTCCGGCTACGTCAAGGTCGCCGACAGACGTTCTACCGACTGTCAAGAAAACTTACGCAAAGTCATTATTAATGATTTTTCTTTCCTTCCTAGATACTGCTTTGTTAAACCTGGTTGTTCTGCTGTCAGCCACAGCCGACGAGCGTCACCGCACGCAATATTACTGTGCAAGTGGCTGAAGGATTGGTGCGCCGCGAACTGACCTCCATTTGGCTACCAAGATAACCTGGGCGAACAGTACTGTACTGCCAACCCCCGGCAGAACACCCAAATCGAGAGATGTGTGGTGTGAGTTGGGAAAATGGCGGCGATGAAGATCAAATACAATACGAACGTAGTGACAAGTTACTTTTATTAACTCCGCATTTGCTATTATGGGCTTCGTATGCTTGTAGGCATATCCTCAAACAGCAATGATTAATTAGTCTTTGTAAAGGAGACGCTTTTTTGTTTTGTTTAAGGTAGAATTTTTTTAAAAAAATATTACTTAGATGAGCTTCGCCCTTTAACCGGTTGAACACACTTTGTGAGGACATGTCGAGATCAAAGGGGACCTATAGTTATCGAAACGGTTTACGAGATAACAGGACGAGGTAATGACACTCGAAACCGGCCACAATAATTACAATGTAACTCCTTATCCTCAGATAAAGATGACTGACCAGAATCGCTAAACACGGTCTTCGTTCCTTTGTTACTACGCGGAAATAAAGGAAGGGTATTTTCAGATGATGCACAGGCTGTATCAACCAGAGGACGCAGGCTTTGTCTATAGGTCTATTACAATGGTTTACAAAATTATATTAGATGTGAACTGGATTTGCTCAACGGCGAGCTCTTCTCTAGTTGACGTACATCAAATAAAAAGTGTGAAAAGTTGATTGTAATTAGTTACCGTTTCTTTTGTTAATGAGAATACTAGTCGGTAAGGCTGGGCGCATAAAACACGGCTAAACAAGACGTCTGTTCACATGACAAGACATGTTTAGTCAGCAGTCACAAACACACACTAATAAGTCGGTTGCGAGCAATGTTGAAGGATATGGTTATTTATTGTACGCGAGGCCTCATGATTTGGAATGGACGACTGTAAGAGGGCAGAGGCGGAGAGTTCATGTTAACCGTGTTAGTCCAGCCAACACTTCGAAAAACGGACAATATTGCCTATTCTCGCGGTTCAGTGGTACTGGAACACAGCAGAACCGGTTAGAAGAACTGCATCATTAGCCAGTTCCAGCCAGGCTTTGTTCGCCAACTAACTGAGAATTACGCTTACATGAACTGTGAGCATTTCTGTAATCGCGATACTAGAAGTTCCTTTTACTACATAAATAATAAATTTTTCGTCATTATATCCCTCACACGTTCCAGAAAATCTTCAACAGTAAAAATTCTTTCGGTCAAATATCAGTTCAAGAATTACAGTTTGAGGCACTTTCATCAACTTCCATGTAGGGCAGAGGGCGTCCACAGGTTTGTGTAGCCATGACGCTTTGCACTTGTACTCTGGAGATAGCCGGCTCGAATCTCAATCTATTGCCGGCTAGGTCTCGTTGTATCCATCTGCCTCTCAAGACAAATTCTAAGATGGTTTGTTGAGGGAGGGCACTTAGGATTACTTCTGAATCATGATTATCTTCACACCTCAATCCACGCTATAAAAACCCTCTGCATCTGCAGTTGAAACAGTCATTTCGTAACCTAAGAATCGATTTAATCCAGTGAAGAAATATCGTAAAAATGTTCTCGCTGTCGGGTCCGGTTTGGATCACGTGATTATTTAGTAACGCTGTGTGAACCGTGTAGGTAATAGGGTGTTGAATATTTTATATACGCTCTTTGCAATTTTATATGTACCACTGGTAGTGATGTAAATTTATATAAGATAATTTGTGTATTGTTGATAAAGCTGATTATATATTTAGATAATACACTGCATGTACATTTATTATACTATTTTATTCGAATTTCATTAAACGTTGCCTGTATCAGACTGCAAAATGTTTTAATCAGACGTTACTACTCTTGATTCTTACGCAATGAACCAATTTCGCGTATAGTGAGGGGTTTATGACGAATCTGTTGTATGTCTAAGCTGTTACCGGACCGGTATTAAATCCGACAGGAATACTTCAATGTACAGCCCCAGTAACAAATGTAATCGAATAAAATGATTTCAGACAATAACTATGTGAACGGACAAACTAATACGACGTCCCGTTCTTGTTAATTTCATTCACGTCTTGTTCTGTTCACAAAACGATTGCATTAGATCAGTTTTCTAGGTGGCAAGGGTCATGGTGCAATGCGGGCGGCTGCTGTAACCAGGTTTAAGTAAGCGTTTGTGGATAGCTTCAGAGGCACATGGCGTATTGATCGCACTGATGGGAGATTTGACGGTGTCGGAACTACTGCTGCTACCCGGCGGGACACTCCATTCAGAGGGGAGGTTGCCAGACTCATTCATGTACTCCTGGTTTACACTGAACATGTCGGCCCGTGACGGTCACAAAGGACCACAAATTAACGTACATGTGAGGCGCCAGTCCGCATGTTTCATTGCTGAATATAATTACTGGCACTGAACGTCGCGGCCAAATGGTTAGCACCACATCCTTTTCAATTCATTGCTCAAGAATCATCCAGTCAATCTATGCAAAATTGCTCGAGATATTAGTGCCACTAACTAACCACAAGTAAACTAACCAACGATATGCATAAAATGTGGTGCTAGGAGTGTCCAAAAGTGAGTAGGATAATTTAATTGTGGCTCGTAAAAATCCCTATATAAAGCTCGAACATAAATTCACACAGCATATTAGGTTACAAATTTAAGTAAGATCTACAATATATAATGGAAGTATGGTTAATATTATATAATATACAAGGAAATATAATTTACGATTAAGCAGTGTAGTGTTCTTACTATTCATCAACTGACAGCAATAGAAACGTACTTATAATGAATGGGGATCAAGTCGAACGAGATATGCAGAACTACAGTAAATGGGCTCTTCCGTAAAATTTAACATGTTGTGATTTGGCGATCTGAAACATTTTGACTTTCAAACATTTATGTATACCCACAGACTTAGTTTAAAAATATACGACGCCACTATTGTGCACACAGGTTTCAACCAATACAATACAAAGGTTCGCCCTATTAGGCAACCGGGAAATCAACCAAAGAAGCGGGCTATTTCTTCTTAAAATGTTCGCCAAGGATACCCGAATGTTAAGCGACGTCTCCTTGCGCGAAAGAAATTCCCCGTCGATATGAAAATGGAAGGTTCAGTAGCCTGGTATAAGTTACTCATCGCCATAATGATAAAAGCAGTAAGTACCGCTGAAACGTCGGCAAATTTCTACCAGACTACACGGCGCTACAACCCAGAAGACATTTTCTTGAAACATAACTTCGCCCTTACCTACAAAAAATGGACATTACGGAATGTTTACCCGAGTTTTGTCTGACATTCACCCAATATGGAAGCTAATAACTGGCACAAACATCAATCACACTCTTCCAATAGTACCGGGCACTGACTGTTTGCTCCAAGACATTATAAATCCACGAACCACAAACAATTTGCAATCATATTCAATTCCCCTTTCGACAGATATGAGCTCGTTAGCACCTGCGAGTTTCTGCAATATGTTTGTTACTTGTGATGGGTAAACACTCACCATGGCTTGCTCGATCTTGTTGTCAATAGCAACAGCACTCGTCCCTGACGCACTGCAAACAAAAGAAAATCAAAATATTACACACGGGACTTATAGAGCGGTGAAGAGTTCATGTTAACCGTGTTAGTGCAGCAAACACTGAAGAATTACAAATAAAATGCCTTCTGTCTTACTTTCGTGGTTCAGTGGTACTCCCATGTAGTGGACCACAGAATAAGAACTGGATAAAATGCACTGGCAGCCAGTTCCAGCCAAGCCCGGCGATTTTACGCTTCAACCAACTGGCCAGCTGACTGGTATTCACATACCCAAGTTGCAATAAAAATTTATATTAGTGCTGCACGATAGGCGGACCCCAAACTCTCCAATGTGACCAGCATTATAATTCAACGGGCGACAAACTACAAATTTTCATTTTTTGATAAAAATGTCGAGACTAATACCTTTGGTTGTGCATGGCAATGCAGACAGATACAACAGAAGTAAACAGATCCTGAAATGGGTGACTAGCATGCATTCATAACGACAGCCAGGCCATTCGATCGGTCCCTGTGATATCAGTCCAGTGGGGGACATTTCTATAATTGTACGGTCTTAAAATACTATTGAGATGGGTAGTAGAATTATTCAGGCCAACTAGCTTCCTCCTGCCGCCCACCAGCTGTTTTCACGAATAAAGTAACCAAATTTAAAGTGTTATCAAGCTTCGTAGCACATTGGCATTTGCAGCATAACATGTACAAATATTTATGCCTAATGGCCGACACTCCTTTGCGTGAAGTTGGGGAATCTTTTCTTCACAAAAGCTTCTAAATCGAAGTTTTTCTTCAGAACCAATGCATTCAACGCAAAAAAAACATGATAACACCGTGACTCCAAGGGGATTCAAACTGGCAATTCCGGTTATAACCAAAACTTCTCAAACAATAGAGAGAGCTACATTAACACTGATACATTATCGCAACTACCAATTATCAGAGAAGCAGTTTTTATCTGGTACTGTCTCGTATTTAAAACTCGAGATAAGTTTGGAGATCCCAATGCAATAACAAGTTATAATTACCAGGATAAATTCCACACTCAAAGCCATCTCAGGTTGTTTGTTGAGGCTTGGTTACGCCTCTGCGGAAAAGGTTCCTACGTACTGGGAATGCGAAGGGAGCGGTTACCAAACCGCGGCCAGCGGACACTTTAAATACTTTATGCCAAAAATGTCAAATACTTAACACCAAAAGTAAATATCTAATCGTAAGTAAAATCTTAACCCAAAAAAGTGAAATCTGAGGTTTTTACGGCAGCGAGCATGAAGATGACTTGTCTTTTGGGTTATTGCGCCGGGCAGGTTAGTAAACGTGTACCGACATGTCAGAGGTACTTGCTGCCTCAATCATCAGGGCGATGAGTCCTGATGATTGAGGCAGCAAGGACCTCTAAGGCATCGGTAAACGTCTAGAAGACGACACTGCGTAAAACCCCAGAAGATAGCCATCTTCAGACTCACCGTCGTGAAAACCTCAAATACTACTTCACTATGTTTTGTTATACACACAAATACCATGATATGAACAGAGAAATGTAATTATTGCATTACATAACAATGACAGATGAACGTTAAGCAGCGTCCTCAAATCTGACCTTGTTGCCTAGCAACCGGCAAACTCCTCATCTCCAAAACAACTCAGCGGATTCTGATGTTTGTTACGTGTTCGACAGAACTGGTTTCTGATTCGTTATCTTCTGTTTCCTGAACTGCCCACGTTACAATATGAGAACGAACTGTGGAAGCGATCAAGGCTTAATTTAAAGGCCTAGCCCAGGACTACAGAAAATCAAGTTTAACCGGTCTGCGGACTGTGAATCGAACGAGGGTCCTCCTGAATACGAAGTGGGAGTACTATAGTTCATTCAGGATGTGTACGAAATAGACAAACACAGGAGAGTGAGAATCACAGTGGCTTCCTTCTGGACGAAGAGCCGTGGAAGCACCTTTAAAGTCCGAGGTTCTTGCTGTGTTCCCCCAATAGAAAAACAATGAAGCTGAATATTATATACGCACTTATCTGATGAGTTACATACGATGTGAATGAAAGTCTGTCTCGTCACCGGCGTTACCAAATATTCTACTTCACCGCCACTTCAAAATGTATACGAGTATTATTATCTCATTTTAGTGATGAGACATCAACACATTCTTTCCGAGCAAGGAAAACGAGAATAAATAACAGAACACTGAAGTCGCTTTGATAATTACTGCCTCAGCGCAATGACAGGAATCGAACTCACGATGCAGCTGGAATGCAGCACTCAGCGCTGTGTAGGTCATGCACGCGTCCCTCAAAGACATCAGCAGAACTGTAGCAGCAGACATTAATGTTGAAAAGTTATTTTAAAAAATGGACCCACAACATGCTGCCTGTTTTCTTTATCAGAACCACTGCCAGCATAACAAAAACACAAATACGAAAATACAAAGCAATTACGTTCAAAAGAAATCTGCCACTTCTATTATAAAATGTATAAATTCACTAATTATTATATCAAGCGGTTTCTAATGTAATATACTGAATGGTCGCGTCCTACCAAGCCTCGTCCGTTTAACGATTAGTTACTCATTTCGATCAATCGATTATACGTTCTACTGATCATCATTTCTTCCAATGACTAAAATGTAAGAACTCGGAACTCTAAAGCTGCGTTCTTACGAACATTAAAATGCAAAATAAAATACAGAATGCTACAAAACATATAGAAAGATTGGTACGACCTTAACCGGGCATTTACAAGAGTTAAGTTTTATAATAAACAGAATACAGAGTATTAGAGACTGTTCCACATCATGTGTATGAAGACTACTAAAATAACCGACAACAAAGAACCGAGGAAACGGAAGATCAAAGAATGCAGTGAAATACAAACCATTTGGGTTTGTTGGATACTCGACGAAGAAACACGAAGTGACCAACTGCACCAGAAGCAGGAAGGACTGTCTTAATTCTTAAGACAGGATGAGGAGAATGTCCGCGGCCGTCCGTCAACAGGCCCACTTTCCATCAACTGGATTATATGCAAATATGGATGACCGGTGGAATGTTACTGATAAGAGAAAACCGAAGGTGTCCGAGAAAAACCTGCCCCAGTCGTCCACCACAAATCCCACATGGTCTTGAATGGAAAGGAACCAGGGCCTCTGAAGCGAGAAGCCGGTGACTAACCCGCCTGTGCTGTGGCACTTAAGCACAGGCTACACGAATAATTCGTGATACAATTTATTTTGCCCGAAGCCTTGCAAGGACGCAGGAAGAGTCACCCGTCTGTCTCTATTTCTGTAACCTAATTAAAATAATCCTGAACCAGTGCTTCGTATTTAAATCATCATTGGGTCTGCGTCCTATAAAAGGACAAACACCTTTGTTATTCACGTGCTACTCCAATATTAGACAAAGTATTTTTATAAAACGTACCGATTAGTGGAAAGCAGTTAACAGACTACCCAATTACAATGAGGCCAACATGGAGGGGGCTGTATTTATAGCGTGTGCCTCGAAATAGCCCCGCTTCAGGCAGTAGAGTTCACTGCGTAGAGTGGACCTGCGGTCCTCTTGACGAGAGGAATAACCACCATTATAATAGTTATTAACGTAAATTCGTCCGTGATCAGAGAACCTCGCCATAAAGACACAGAAAGAAGTGGAGGGCATTCGTAACCTTGGCGCTTGCTGAAGGTGAGTGGTCAGCGTCACGGTCCAACCGATTTACCCTCGGAGAACGAAGGCACGAAACCCTATGGATGATAACAAACGTCACAGATGCAGAACAGCAACAAAAAGGAGAAATATGGAGACAGAAAAAATAAAGAGAAAGAACGTGAGGAGTACAGAGTCTGAGGAACAGGACACGAAACAGACATAAACACTTTCGTGTCCAATGTTTCGAGAGCAGACCTCAACGGGCAAATCAACGAAATGGCACATCATCTCAGTGAGAACAGCAAACTGAAATCGGGCACTTCAAGAACGCGTTTTCAGTGTGCTAGCTGTCTTTTACATGAATCCCAAGGAAAGAAAAAAAAAGAGAGAGACAAAGGCCTAAATATAAAAACTTTTAAAATTCCGCAGTCTATAAAGAATGTAGAATTTAAAATGCAGACCAAACTTACTACACATGAGCCCTTTCAAGCACAAAATGATGACATCAATGGCAGTATTAAATTCTTGCAGCTGTATCCCGTTGTTTCAGCTGGTGCATTGCTTGAAATTGGTACGGTCGTAATTTCACCTGCTTCGTTGCTCGATTACAATCATTAAAGACAGACACACTTCCAGGGTCCTGAATTTTATTACCAGTCGGTGGCCTAATGTTTCATTAGACAGTTCCTTGCTAAAATGCTTCAATAACAGCAGCAAACGATTTCGATGTGAAGTGCCCTAATGTTAGGGAATGAGAATTCACCCGAGCGACCTGAAAAACCGTGTAAAACCTCAGTGGGTTAGCCGACCCTCGGGCCCAAATCAGTTTGGTACCTTCAGGACACGAAGGAGTGCTGACCACCCGACCGCGGCTTTGCGTAATTAATAGACAAATATGTTCGTTCTAAGTTCAAACAGAACAACAGCCAGCCTAAGTTATTTAGTTACGTACTTAGTGTGCTAAAGTGTACAAAAAAATTAACTCGATAAAACGTGAAGTTACAAAGGCGCGAACACATGCAACAGTACAAAGGATAATCAAACTACATGAAATCTACACTGACCAACGTCACTTCGTTGGAAAGGTTTTGTGCTACATCGGAACAGTGTCCATAGTCTGGATGTAACTCTATATTTTGGCATATTAATTACGTGTACAATATGTAAAGATTTACTTGTCAAGTAGAATACACAGTTTTGTATTGTTTACCTTCTGGCTACAATTTTCGCTGAAGAATCACCATCATAAGCCAATACACCCGAGACCTGTACGTTTTCAGAAATGCCGATACCTCAACATTTGGTTATACGCCGATTCGCGATGCTTTTTAGAACTAGCTCTAAAATTGACGGGCTGTCTGTCAACTCCCGAAACGTAGTAATGTTTCTTGTCCAACAGACGATTTCTAAAGAAACTAGTCGTGGGAAGATGCGATAAGGTGTACGAAACTGAGACACCTGAAATTTCACTGTCTTTTCTAAAATTACAAGAAATAATGCACGCTGATATAATTATTCGCAATCCAAAAAATCAACTGGGCTAACAAATCTTGATAACCAAACCACCAAATTTTGCTTTTACTGAATTTGTCAGCTTACATTCAATTAATTCAATTCAATTCAATTCAATTAATTTATTTACGTGTTTGCCAACAGCAAGAAGCCAATAACAGGCAAACACTGATAATACATACAATAATAATGAAATAATAATGGATAATATTACACAAACGGACTCAAGGGAGACAATGTTTATGCTAAATACGTCCAAAGATTTACATACGTCATTTGCAGCGATGACGCACCTGGCTGAAGGACTATGCCTTAGTGCCCTGCTCACACTAAAAGTAGAAAATTCTCTTATTTGCCTCGCCGGCACACGTAAACCAACAGCGTCCATAATGGAATGGCAATTTATTTTGCCCTTAAATACATTAATAAGAAATAACGCATCGAGATGTCGTCGTCTGGAATAAAGTGTTCTAAAATTTAAAGTAGATAGGATCAGTTCATATTTTCGGGGGATATTAAACTGGAAAAATCGGTAATTGCATAAACTGGCAAATTTTCTTTGAATATTTTCTAATTTATTAGAACATGTTAACCATATTAACTCGGACAACACTTTTAATGACGAAAAAGTATCTGTATTACTTTCATGGTCCAATGGTACTCCACACACCACAACACAGCAGAACAGATCAGATAAAATGCATTAGCTAGCTCCAGCCAGCCATGTGTTGTTAGCCGGACAGTCAAGGCTTACGCTCGCAGCGAGCGTTAACGCCAATGCCTGGCTGGCAACAGCTCCATGACTATTAACAGCAACTAAACCACGATAGTAAAACAGAAGCATTTTCTTTTTAGTTTTCAAAGCGTTAGCCAGGCTGGCACGGGAAACATAAACGCTCCGACCATAGTCTGAAGAATATTTTGTTCACGAAACTCAAACTTCAGAGTTTCAACCCAGATCCCTGAAACACCCGTGCGGCAACACGCACAGAATAACAATAGCTATCAATTCGTAATTACGTTGAAGAAAGCCTATATAAAGGAACTGGCTACTCAAGAAAATCTCGGGTAGGGGAGCAGAAATGGGATCCGAGATTCGAACTAGGGGATTCCCGAATACGAAATGCTAACAGTTACGCCGCGATCTTCTGTTAGATCAATTAGCCAGTCACACAAGTTAAAACGCGGCTATTCGCCCCCAGAATGAGACTGTAATAAAAGCAGACCACACAAACTGATATATCGTCACTTGCATTACCAGTGCCGGGCAATATTTGACACCCGACAAAGCACCGCGAGAGAATCGAGTTACGTATAACACCTATCATTAATACACCACAGACTTGTTGAAAAGCGTTCGATATAAAAGTTATAGTTTTCAACGAGAAACTAAGTCCATCAATTTCTACTTTACACAATCTATACTTCTTTTAAAATCCTATAAACGTTCGATTACATGTTAGAGGATTATATTATGCAATAAGAATAACAAATTAATCCAACTGACAAACTCGGTAGCTCCGAGGAACATGTGGACTTGACCAACATGCGTACATCAGGGAAGAAAAAGAAGAACGCAATCTTGTTTCAAACGCCAATTCGTCATTCTCGTTTCTGAAAGACAAGCAACAAATCCATACAGCAGATTACACTTCGGGACGGGGGTGGAGAGAATCGCACACCCACAAAATTGGCCCCTTCACCTTCTGTGACTAAATTTTCGTCGTCCACATACCAGCCATGACAAATCACCGTCTAAAGCCAAGTGTACTTGTGATTAAGGGAAAAATGTTCGAATTTTTAATTACCTCAATACACACAAACACACGTGGACTGAAAATCTAGTCAGACTATAGGTTTTAAGAATCAACTATTAATTTCTGACGAAGAGAAACAGAAAACGGTAGATTTCGTAAACGTCTGACTGAAGACGAAACAGTTATAGCCCAAATTACTTACTTCGGAAAGAAGTGGTCTATATATTTACTGACAACTTCACGAAGCAAATCAGGTTTCATAACTGACGGGTAACCCACACTGAGCACTTCGGCCTTCATGATTCAGACCAACACACCAGTGCGAAACAAAATGTCACCAACTCTAAACGAGTAGCAAAGGTACCAAGATCTTTCTGTCCCACTAAAAACACAACAGGTAGTCAAAACAAAACACTTTTCATTCCTCTAACTCAAAATAAAGCACTGGACAGAACTAAACCCTAACGCGACAAGAACGCAGGCCAGTACACTACGACGTCTGACACGCAACTATTTCACGGCCGTCGGAATGAGCGATGAAGCTAGCTGGCCAACTGTAGTTTCAAGTATCGCCATCACGCGATTGTAGCGCTGTCAACCAACCTTACAGCCGGTGTACAGGCCGGCGCACACTACACCGAAACGAACCAGCAAAAAGTATTCCCCAGTTTTATTTTCTGAATTGTTTCGTAACAGAAAGCTCGATTCAGCTCTGCGACGTATAGTTACGTCTTCAAGGCACATTCAGTGCTTCAAAAATAATTTTAAATCTAAAGGGCGTTGCTTAAATATCTAAAGAAATGTGACGTTTCTAGAATATTTTTCGTTTTGCTTCAATGAAGTGGTACTCCGCGAGGTAAAAAGCCGAACGCATTTTTTAACATGCGTCATTGAGACATCATTGTTCAACCCATTTTTGCTCGGTACCTTGTCACATTAGTGGAAAAATGACCCAAAACACAAGAATGTTCTTCATGTGGCGTGAAGAACACCCCTCGAGTGCTCAAGAGAGAACGCCTTCAAAATCACGAGTTCAGTGACCCTAATGATTCCGGCGACCTGGTCAAGGACTGCATGGAAAACGAACGGTGAGAAAGTGGAAATACTTGCTAAATCATAATATAAGTTAATATTCACACAATTCGCAATGCAGGAAAAACAAGTTATCTAACGTCAGGGGCGGCGGCACATATCTGATTCAAGGATGAGCGGGAATGAATAAGACCAAAATGTATAATTGTTATTATATAAGGACTATGAACTCTCGTTTAAAAGAAAATGATAATTTTAACAATAGTTATACTTATTTAGGAGATAACAACGGACCCTAAAAAGAGAAACAGCTGTGATAAATTTGCGGACAAATTGTGTTGGTTTCTGACTAGCAACAGGACGTTTTCCACGGAATAGACAATGAGACATTCTTTTCTACAACGTCATGATATTAGAGAAAGAGAGATGATTCTGTTTTGCGGCCAAGGTACATTGGATTTTAAAATTCTCATGAGTCATATATCAAATGTTTGTTGATTTAACCAAGTAGCATCAACTCCAGTATTTGGATATCAAATACGCGTTTCAACCTCAAGAGGTTGAAACACGTATGGCAATAGTGTCTTTGTTATTGTGTTAATAGTTGTTTGTTACTTATTTGATATTCTAATACACTACACGGTATGCAAAATTTTAAGATTCAGTATTTGAGTTGAAGAAAAATGATGCATAAAGAAACTTATGACGGAGGCAGTATGACCTCTGAAACGTTGGTTAACATCGACCAGACTACACAGCGCATTAACCCAGAAGACAGAAATCTTCAAACTTAAAGAAATTTAAACATTTATTTGTAGTCTCGGGGAAGTTCTGTGGTTATGGACCTCTGAAACGTCGGTCAGTTTCTACCAGACCACACGGCGCAACATCCCAAAAGACAGTCAGTCGTCTTTGTATGTCGCTGCGAGAACCTGAAATCTCACCAACGAAAGCGTTCGTACTAGTAGCAAGCGTCACCAAACTGAAAATTACATTCGTTTCGTTTCGATGAAATTAATGTGCCGACCATTTTCTCCACAGATTGCGAAAACCCGAGTCAGTGAGACAGTGCGACGCACATACAGGAAATGCAAGTTGGTTTGTGCTCCGGAGATAAGAACTAACGTCGTTACAGTTCAACAAATTAATCATTACAGAATGTCAAAAAAATGAGAAAATCTAAAATCTGTACCCCCAATCGGATATTATGAAGGCGACTAACCCCTCAAATCCCAGTGATAACTGAATGTATTTCCTACTTTAACGATCTGCAACTTTGTATTCTCCCCAGAATGTATTTATGGATTTCGTATGATTCTCAAAATGGAAACATTCTATGTTTTCTTTGTTATAAGAACAATATTTTAAAACATAATGCAGATCGATTCGGCCTCAAAGGCCAAAGTAAAATAGGATGAAACCAAATGAACATACAGCACGCAATGGAAACCATAAACGTACGCAAAATGTTCGCTGTAAAACGTCAAGGAAGAACATAATTGAAAGCCCAACAACATGAAGGGAAGATGGGTTAAAATTTATCTTACATAATGTAAACTTCATTGAAATGGCCAAGGATAAAATCCAGTGGTGGAGTTTTGTGATGACGATGATGCACCCACAGACATTTTACGTTATGTTGGTACCACTGAATTCTGATTCTCACGGCTTGCAAATGACACACCCCGTCTGCATAATTTCTCACAAGGTCATGACTCATAAAAGTGAACTGTGAATGTCGCATGATCAATAATTCACCTCATTATTAATTATTTAGGTCTGCATTTTGTGTATCAGAATCAAGAATATGCGCTGAACATACAATGTCTTTTAAAAACTCGTTCTTTGTCAAATGTTACTTTTGTACCCAGACTATAATAATCTGTAGTCTTACTAGTGACTGTCAACAATAAAATTATTACACATCTCTTCTGCCGCTAAGCCCTGGCAAACACACGAATTTGTACTTGGAATAAATGTACACCACGTCCTATGAGAGATGCAAAATAGTATAGGATATTTACGGAAAATGTGCGTGTTATAATGCAAGTTTCCCGCCGAGAGGTAATGGAAACCAAGTAGAAACAAGAGAGAGACATCCTTTCAAGAGTGGTTAAGCATTACAGGATGCACATAGCTACCGCAAGCGATCGTATGAACGTAACGGTAAAGCAAGCCTGGCGGCAAAAATAGCGGCTCAACTGTCTGTAACGGGCAGACAGTATGAATGGAGGGAAACTAGCATTGATTCTACTCGCCAACTTCGGTCTGCATGTGTTCGAGTTGTGCAACTGTATAGAACAGAACATATGTTTGTTCATCTAGATAAATTCTGCAGCTCGTGGCTGAAACGTTTATTCGGTTTTGACATATATTACACCCCTTAGTCACGGACGTCAGGCACAGTCCATACCACAAATATAAAGTGTATCACGCGGGAACACACGGTCTTGGACTGCGAGCCGCACGTTCGAATCTCGATGGAGTCAACGCTTATCTGTGTTGTTCAGTGATGCCGAAAGGTGTAAGAAAGACAAGCAGAATAAGGAGATAACAGGAAGAAAAGTCGAGTGGGCAAGAGCGAACAGATAAGAAAATAGAGAACAAGTAGGCTGACCAGACACAGAAATTGTCCGAGATAGAAGTGGGACGAACGAGAAGGGAGAAAGAAGACGGCAGAATAAGGATAGGAAGAAACTGCGAAGGGAAATAAAATTGACACTTGATAAAATAAAAAGAGAAGGTTTCAATGTAAATAGGAGGATATGACAAAGTAAAATCAAATGAATAAGAGACGAAAAGGGGACGGGCGCAAGAGAACGGAGGCGGAGCAGGAAACTGACCAAGATAAAGGAGGAAGCAGAAGGCGGGAAAAGGAAGAGAATATTAAAGAACGTAGAGCCAGAAGCACAGAAATGTGGGCTGCTTGCAACGCCAGCAAGTTACCTGCATTTGTTAGAGCGATTATTTGTAGTGTATTTAATTTCCTCATTGTAACAAACATGCCGATTGTACTCAAACGAAGCTGTTTGCGTACTACACACTAGTCACCGTGTGGAAACATTTGCATTACAGATGAGTCCACTGCCCCGTCAAACAACAAAAAGGGAAAAGAAACAGGGAAACCGGGGGGGGGGGGTTTTTTAAGTTTTTCCACGATTCTTGGAATGTTACCTGTTAAAGTACGCGGCTTACTCTGGATAATGTTTCTATTTTGAAATCAACGCCCCTCCCAGTAGCAGGCAAATTGACTGTAAATGCTTGGATACGGAATATAGTCATTAACACCACTGATCCCAAGTGACAACCACACCCTCACCGAGTCGCTACTGCCGATTTGTAGGATTTGAGGTTTTCACGGCGGTGAGTCTGACGATGGTTTTCTTCTGGGTTGTTGCGCCGTGTAGAAGTTTACCGATCGCCCTGATGATGGATGCAACAAGGACATCTGAAAACGTCGATAAACTTCTATCGTACTACACGGCGCAACAACCCAGAAGACAGCCATGAACTGGCAAGTTCTTATCCTAGTACGTTTTCCCTGTTAAGACAGAATTCTTTGTGTACAGAATCTGTACAGCCGAAAATTAAAGAACGCTGTTCTTACATGCGACGGAAACAAAATCAAATAACGTTACATCGATTTCAACTATGATGCATGGCGGCACGTTTGTACTGCCACAGATGTCGGCGGAGGGAGATTTCGCGGACGCAATGCGAGGGTGTCGATAAACAGAGAGGTGCTGTATCGGGGTTTGACTGGGCGTGAACCTTTGTCTCCGAAAATGCACTTGGAACTGACAAATGCCGATTTAATAACGAACTCTGGCGGGTCATATGAGACCCGCGAACCTGGTATATACGGCGCGCACCCATACAAACATATCACAATTTGACGTATTGGCAAACATCAGAAGCAGATCTGAGTCACGGTACAGGATGACAGAAGGCTCGAATAGATATGACGTATTGTATTATGACGCCATACAATTTAAATATCACCGTGACCACAAACACGTCATTAGGTTCAAAACGAAAGAACACGCCTATACGATTTTTTTTACATTTCCGTTTTAAAGAGATCTGGCGATGGTATAATTACAAATGCAGCGAACTCACTAAACTAAGAACATAAACAACAGCTACAGAAACGCCGAACGCTCGACCCGGCAAATTAGGCAACACCCGGTTACAGGGACAGCGTCGTCACGGAAACAACCTACAGAAACTGCAGAGACGTGCACTCCTTTGAGATCAGTAGCGAATGCCATTGGTTCCTCAACAGGATACTGAGTCCCTTAGTCGGTAACACAATAAATCCTTCGTAAATGATTTGGAACACTTCACACAGCTGCTGATATCTGTTATCTTCAAAATCCAGCTACCTTAGACAGATCTGGCGACGGAGCATTACGCTCCAAGAGAAGTTAAAACAAAAGGCAAACAGAAAACATGAAAGATATATAGAAGCGGAAGTGTCTTGTGCAAAGTGTTATGTACATAAATTGCGCCATGATGTAGATTATCATACTAGCGACATACAGACTGAATCCACAGCATGGAATATCGGATGCACTTCCAGATCTTGCGTTTGTCAAATGCGATTACGTACAGGTCACGTCAGAATCCAACAGGAATGTCGCGGAACAAGAGGGTCGTCTCCGAGAGTCCCAACACAGGGTTGTACTATTATTCCACACGCCTCTTGTGTCCATAAAGGGCGGAGCCCGTCCGATGTCCTGAAACAGCCTGAACCCGGACATTCAGCTTCACGTTAAGAATCCCCCCCCCCCCGACCAGGTGTTGTTAACCCAAGACAAAAACAGGACACAGACTGACGGAGGTACAGCTCCTAGCATTCTACATCTCATCTTTACTAAGGCCGCTTTGTCCTCGGAACAAAGAAGACTAACAATGTGTATGAAGACAAAGCTCCGCGCATTCTACACCTCAGAACTGAAAGCAGGTGAATTGTTAGCTCCGTAATCCAGCCGCCATTGTCCCCGGATTAACGAATATGTATTTAATAGGTGTAAAGTTAAAGATAACACATTACAGACCTCGACACTAGGAGGTAAAGTGGCCAGATAGCGCTACGGTTGATTTTCTACCGGGATAAGCCCCTGGTAGCTGCATGATCTTAAATAACTTTCACATCTAATATTTTCGCGTCTGAGGCCCTTTCCACACAGGTAGCAGTGGCGGAATCACATGTGCATGGTTGCTGTTACCAACGCATCAACTACATACACTGACTGACACAACGATTATGAACGATGATAAACTTGGAAGAGATGGCGCGGTATTTTTCAAAACCTAACCCTACCATAAGGCACATAATAAAACGATAAATATCCTTGATCTCGATAGCCGGCGTCAGAGCCCATAATCGAATTCGGAACTTCCAAAATACAAAGGAGTGTCGCCCACTACAACGTTTACTTCTGTTATAGAACAAATATTAAAACGAATATCAGGAAAACAGGTTATGAATGCGTCAATTGCATTGAACTGCGTCGGGACCGTGTCAAATGCGGCGTTGAATCTTCGGATCCTGTTCCCAAAGAATTTGGATGAAATATTAGGATGTAGGTACAAGGCTTGGGACACACGCCGAAACATGTCAAATCTGAAACCAGTCAAGAGAAAAAAACGTTTTCCTTTACAAAAATAACACTTCGTCCATCTTCTCCAAACGCGCTGCTGCAGAAAATTGTGTTCATGACAGAACACGCACCCCCCCCTTAAAAATTAGGACATGCATATGAGTCTCCCGTACAAGAATATTTAACAAAATGTAAGGAAAATACATTTTAGTCACTAGTAGAGGATCAATTCTGTACTTTTCTGCAACACGAATATTGGGAAAGAAAACTGGTAAGAATGTATATACAAAAATGTGCATTCCAAACTGATGGCGTGTGTCCAATCACAACAATTCGAAAAAGATTCCAGTTCACTGCAACAATAAATATTAACCACGGAGCTAGGCAATGCCGATAACCCCAGACTTCGGCTATATTTTTCTACTCACTGGCCCCATGTATTGGCTCTCCTGACCTGCCGACGGTTCCGCGGCGAGGGGTCCTGGTTACCTGATGCGGGGTGTAAAGACTGGGGTGTGTGTGTCCGCAGGGCGGTATTAGACGTCATTCCACTGGAGGCACTTACGCAGCTCGACTCTTCGTGTACCATCGCACAAGTCCAGGTAACATCGTGACTGTAAGCGCGAGCCCTTGGGTGCCGTGGGCCTGCATCGTCGCCATTTCCCGACATATTGCGAAACGTCCCTCGACCAGATACGACCAATGCTTAGAGGCTGATTTACTACTGGATGTAACAAATATATATATGTTAACAGATGGCACTACGGCGGAAAACACTTGTCAAACATTTCTGCATCTTATGTTTGGCGTAAAGCAATACTATGTCATAATTACATTTTTAGCAAAGAGTTTGAAATTTTTGCACTAGGCTTGGCAGTGAATGGGTTAAAAGAAACAGAAGCGTTACGTCATAACACTCCTTTCGTGCTGTTTGGCAGTGAAATTTGGCTCGCGGCAATATGCAACACCTCTTACACATTCGTCATCCAAACCAACAAGCGTGGTCGTATGTCCCTCTAGTGAAGGAAAACGTTCGTTTATAGGCCAGAAGATCTCGCTTACTCCTGGCTACAGTTTATAAATACGAAACTAGAAACGCGTGCAGCTTTTCATCATGGTTACTGAGTCACGCGTCCAGTCTCTTATATCTGAAGACCTGTGAATAACAACACTACACATAAACAACAGTGAATATCGCATCACGGTCCATCGTCTTCAAACGTACATGCACACACGGAGAGCGTTCCTAGGCAGCTATCATACGTCAGCGGCCAGCGCGTGTTTTTATGAATAATATAAAAACCCAAAACCAGATATAAGA